CAAATGAATAAAAACATTTAAAAAATCATAGGACAGAAAATAGAATGTTGGTTGTCAAGGGCTCGGTAGAGGGGAATGGGGAGCTCCTGTTTAATGGATATGGAGTTTTAGTTTTGCAAGATGAAAACAGTCCTGTGGACGGATGGTGGTGATGGTTGCACAGCGGTGTGGATGTACTTCATGCCACTGAAATGTATACTTAAAAGTGGCAAATAGCAAGTTTTACAATGTGTATTTTACAACAATTTTTAAAAATACGTAATTTTAAAATCAGAATGGATCTTATTGATTCCACTTTCCCATGTCCCGTTTCTTACTGACTCCTCTTCCACTTGACCAAAAGGCACCTCTCTATTAGAAATCAGACGGAAGTAAACTACTTAATTGAGGAAAGCCCTTCAGGACACCAAACAATGTTTATATCCTACTGAAGGCTGTTTGGCTTCTTTCCATTTTCAGAGCTATTATGAATAAAGCTGTTATAAACATATTTGTACAAGTATTTTGTTTTCATTTACCTCAGCTAAATACTTAGTGGAATTACTGCGTCTTAGAGTGACATTTGTCAGAGCAATTCTCAAGTACTTGTACTATTTTGCCATCTTTCCAGCAATGTATGAGAGTTCTGGTTCCTGGAAACCCATGTGTATTTGATTTAGTGAGTCTTTTTGCTAATTTTAGCAGTTCTAGTGGGTGCGTATTGTGATTGTGGTTTTCTTTAGGACTAATAATAGCATTTTCCAGGTACATGTTGCAGATATTTACTCCCCGTTCCCTAGTTTGCCTGCTCATTTTCGTAAACAGAGTCTTCTGAAGAACAGGTTCTCATTTTAATCTCTATGGTAGTGCTTCCCGGACCTTTCCTAGGAGTGTCTGCTGACACCACGCTCAGGGAGACTTTCTCCTCTGGTTTCTTTTAGAAACTTATTGTTTAGCTGCTACATTATGTCTGATCCATTTTCAACTAATTTGTTTTTCTAATTAACTTTTTTTTTTTTATATATTTTATTGATTTTTTACAGAGAGGAAGGGAGAGAGATAGAGAGTTAGAAACATCGATGAGAGAGAAACATCGATCAGCCGCCTCCTGCACATCTCCCTACTGGGGATGTGCCCGCAACCCAGGTACATGCCCTTGACCGGAATCGAACCTAGGACCTTTCAGTCCGCAGGCCGACGCTCTATCCACTGAGCCAAACCGGTTTCGGCCTAATTAACTTTTTTAATATATATTTTTATTCATTTCAGAGATGAAGGAGAGGGAGAGAGAGATAGAAGCATGGGAGAGAATTTTTAAACAATTCTCTCTCATATGGTGAGAGAGAATCATGGATCGGCTGCCTCCATGCCCCCACTGGGGATTGAGCCCACAACCCGGGCATGTGCCCTTGACCGTAATCAAACCTGGGACCCTTCAGTCCACAGGCCGATGCTCTATCCACTGAGGCAAAGCAGCCAGGGCTTCCAATTAACTTTCTTTTCTTTTTTGTTTTGTTTTATTGCTTAAAGTCTTACAAAGGGTATTACATATGTCTCCTTTTTCCCCCCACCCTTGACAATCCCCTGGCCTCTCCTACCCCCCAGTGTCTTATGTCCATTGGTTATGCTTATTTGCATGCATATAAGTCCTTTGGTTGATCTCTTACCCCTCCTCCTGCCCCCCCACCCTCCCTGGCCTTCCCGCTGTAGTTTGACAGTCTATTCGAGGCTGCTCTGCCTCTGTATCTATTTTTGTTCATAAGTTTATAATGGTCTTTATTATCCATGAATGAATGAGATCATGTGGTATTTTTCCTTCATTGACTGGTTTATTTCACTAAGCATAATGCTCTCCAGTTCCATCCATGCCATCGCAAATGGTAAGAGTTCCTTCTTTTTTACAGCAGCAGAGTATTCCATCGTGTAGATGTACCACAGTTTTCTAATCCATTCATCTACTGATGGGCACTTAGGCTGTTTCCAGATCTTAGCTATGGTGAATTGTGCTGCTATGAAAATTAACTTTCGATTGTGGTATGGTGGTCCACAAAGCAAGTGCCATCAGTGGGGAATCAGGATGTGATTCTGGAGATGGAGCCTGAGAAAGTGCTGCCACATCCAGAGAAGGCAGCGGCATGCAAACTCCCACTTCAGTCTGAAGCCCTGTAATTGGAGGGAAGACACGTAAAATCTTAGTGGGAATTTTTTGGTGGGGATAAGAGTGCTATCAGCAGCACTAGTTCCAATAGTACATTTTAAAATTGCTTCTGGTCTTTTTTTCTTTTCAATTTATTTATGTATTTTTAAATATATTTTTGTTGATTTCAGAGAGGAAGGGAGAGGGGGAAGAGAGAGATAGAAACATCAATGATGAGAGAGAATCATTGATTGGCTGCCTCCTGCACATCCCCTACTGGGGATTGAGCCCACACCCTGGGCATGTGCCCTTGACTGGAATTGAACCCGGGACCCTTCAGTCCGCAGGCCAACACTCTATCCACCGAGCCAAACCAGCTAGGGCTTTATGTATTTATTTAGAGAGGGGGGAACATCCGTCTGTTGCTCCACCCATTTACGCATTCACTGGTTAATTCTTTATATGTATATATTTTTTATTGATTTCAGAGAGGAAAGGAAAGGGAGAGCGAGATATAAACATCAATGATGCGAGAGAATCATTGATCAGGTGCCTCCTGCACGCCCCCTACTGGAGATCGAGCCTGCAACCCGGGCATATGTCCTTGACCAGAATCAAATCTGGTCCCCTTCAGTCCGCAGGCCGACGCTCTATCCAGTGAGCCAAACTGGCTAGAGCTCATTGGTTGATTCTTGTATGTGTCCTGACTGGGATCCAACTTGCAACCTTGGCATATCGGGAGAACACTAACGTACTGAGCTAGCTGGCCAGGCTAGAGCTGCTATTGTTTAAAAATTCATGGTTGGGGCCCTGACCCAATAGGTCAGTTGGTTAAAATACCCTCCCAGTATCCAAGGTTGCATGTTCAATCCTGGTCAGGGCACATACAAGAATCAACCACTGAATGGAACAACAAATTGATGTTTCTCTCTCTCTCTCTCTCTCTCTCTCTCTCTCTCTCTCCCTTCCTCCTCCTACCTCTTGCCCTCCCTCCTGCCCTCTCCCTACTTCTCTCAAATCAATAAAAAACATTTTCTAGTTGGCTAGGTGTTCAAACCAACCTTTGCCTTCTGTGCCCTGTTTATGCTTTTAGCTGACTGTCCTTTGGGGCCCAAAGCATTTATTTTGGAAAAAAATTAGTGTTTAAAGCAGAATAAAGCTGCTGCATACCACAGCCAACAAATAGAATAGGACCCTAAGCATGTGCCCTGACCAGGGATTGAACCAGCGACCTCTTGGTTCAAGGGTCGACGCTCAACCACTGAGCCACACCACTGGGCTGCTTTTTTTTTTAAGCACTTGTTCATCTAATATTTTAAAAAAGATTCCCTTGAGTGCCAGGAGTTCAAACAAACCACACCAGCAAACAAAAAAGAGAAAAGCAGAAAATGAACTCGTCTCTGCTTCTGCAGATTGGTTTTGTGATGGGGCACTCCCTCAGCACCTGGCTGTGCTTGCTCCAAGCCTAGGGATTAGCCCAGGTCAAAGCTTCTCAAGTCTTGTCTGATCATGTGTCTTGCCTGGGTATGCATGTGGCTTTCTACATTTTTCCGTATACATGTTGCCTTGAAGTGTCCTTATTTCCCAAAGTTTTTCACCCCAACTTCTCTAAATAGCCTATATAATAAAAGCCTAATATGCAAATGGACCGAATGGCAGAACCCCCAGTGGAACGACCGGTCGCTATGACATGCACTGACCACCAGGGGGCAGACGCTTAACACAAGAGCTGCCCCTAGCCCACAGGACCCAGGCCGGCCAAGGCAGGTGCCAGTGGGGGGGCCCCTGATCGCCCCGCTGGTCACCCCATAGATTGGCTCTGATCGCCAGCTAAGCCTAGGGACCCTACCCATGCACGCATTTCATGCACCCGGCCTCTAGTGTGAGACTATAGTTTGCTTTGTAGCTTTTATTAGCAATGCCTGCTGCTTCCCCCGACTCCCCTACCACAGAGTTCTGAGTTAGGTAAAATAGAAACAAGCACCTTGCATCAGTCCTTCAGATATCCCCCAGACAGGTTAGAACAGATGTACACAAAAATTCACAAATCAGGTTTCCTTTTGATTTGATGGAGGAAGGTGGGAACTGGGCTGCCACTACTTCAAGACTAAAACCACTGCCATGTTAGAGAAGGCATGGGGCAGGGATGAGTAAAGACATAAAACTTTCCTATTATTTTGAAGATGCTTTTTCTTGAATGAGCATTTGCTTTGTTGTTTTAAACCTTTGATTGTTTTCTAACGCTCCAACAAAGTTGATTCAGACAGTTACTGCTTTTGGGGGGGAATGCCTTCGTCTGTCATTTTACTGACCTATAGGTTATCTTTTCACCCTCTCGATAGTGTACTTGGATGCACTAAAGTTTTTAAAATTGATGAAGTGTCCTTCATCTGTTTTGTCTTTTGTGCCTTTGATGTCATTAAGAAACCATTGCCAAATCCAAAGCCATGAAAGTGTGCCTCTTTTTTAGTAGCTGCAGCAAAGGTCTACCAATGACTTCTTAGCTTCTCTTGGGTTATGTGCCCATCTTCAGAGCATCACTGTGGTGAGGGTACTAGACTATTGTGGTTGGCCAGGCTGGATGGTGTAGGACTGGTGCTCATGCTGATTAAGATGCTGTTTCTAGAATGGCTACTAGAAAAATTAGTCAGTATTTATAAATGTGAAGCATTCTTAGTACACTGAGAAGTTTGTAGTGGCCTGGAATATGCATTTCTAATTTTAAAAATATATTTTTTTGTTATAAGTTAATAAATGAATGTTGAAAAGTGACTTCCAAAAATATCCCTGCTGCTGTGGTCCCTCATAAGGTAAGCAGGAGAAAATTAGGTTAGCTTTACTTCATATTCTAATGTTCTCATTTTATGTGGCTTGTTTTGTACAGGTACTGCTATAACCAACATTTGGTAGTGAAAGGATCTGCTTATTGGGCCCTCTTGACTTAAGAGATGTGGGGGGATTCTCGATCTGCTAATAGAACAGGACCTTTTCGGTAAGTCTTAAAATAATGAATATTGAAATTGTTAATATATTAATGATATAGTATAACATTTTTACGGATTACCATTAACGGGGATATTTTGGTGTGTGTAGAAATAGCTCTGGTTTTTAAAAAATAAAAACATTTAAAAATTTTTAGTCATTTCTGAAGTGATTCTGAGACTAAATATCCAGCATGCCAAGTGTTTTGTGTTTTAGCATTTTATTTATATTTATGAATGACTACTTTACAAGTAAGGCTGTTTCTTATAGAATTAACCCGTTCTGATGGTTTAGGTAAGCCATCAGAAATGTTAGGTAACTTTAGCTCTGTTGCCTAACTTTCTAAAATTTTCAGAACATTTTTTTCTTTGACCAACTTACCATTTATATTTCCTCACCTTAATTTTAGTTTAACTATAAGTCATTACATGCTTTTTAAAAAAATGTATTTTTAAATTGATTTCAGAGAGGAAGGGAGAGAGAGAAACATCAATGATGAGACAGAATCATTGATCGGCTGCCTCCTACACGCCCCACACTGGGAATCGAGCCACAACCTGGGCATGTGCCCTGAGGAGGAATTGAACCATGACCTCCTGGTTCATAGGCCAATGCTTAACCACAGAGCCACGCAGGCTGGGCTATTACATGCTTTTTAAAAGATCTTTGACTAGGAAATATAATTTATAAAGGGGGACTAATTTGGATTTTTTTAAAAGGTACTTGTAGGAAAATGATATTATATATCATTTTAATAACTTCTTAAATTTTTTTTTTATTTGGCTAAAAATTATTTTCATAGCCACTGCTATTTTATATTAATAGAACTGTTTCTTGAATAGTCTACATATAATACAGTTCTAACAACCCTAATGCAGTACATTATTCTAGAACTATTGATCGTCTCAACTTAAGAGGGTAAGATAATCCTTAGGGCAGTATTTAAAGACAGTGTTGGATGTGTTCTGGTCAGAAAACGTAGTTTTAGATATCTTAGCACTTGCCCTTAAATCCTCCTGCAAGCTAACCATTGGGATTTGAGTGGTTTTAAACATGGGAGACATTAGAGTTAGTGGTACTGTCCTAATTTTAGTGTTAAATTGTTATTACTTACGAAGAACATTTGAACTTGCTTCTCTTATGTTGAAACATATAGACATAACTAATGTTAATGAGAACTCACGGAAGTCATCATGTTCTGAAGATTCATTAAATATGCATAACTCTGATGTTTAGGTTGCTGCTGTTAAATTCCTATTTAAGAGAGGGTTTGGCATTGTAACTGTTTCTCTTGAACTGAGTGACCCAGCATCAGTCCTGTGAATCTGTCTAGTGTAATGGTGCAGTCTGAGTTCAGAGGGGTCGTATAATAGAACCTGTATATTCTGGGACGAGAGGGCTGCTGAGTTGGACTTGGCTCTCTTAATATTTTTGTTTTACTGCTAAATAGCAGATAACCCTTCAGATCATTTTTAACCCTTCAGATCATTTATGTTTTCCCTTTTCACATCCTCCTATTCCCCTCAAAGTCAAAATTCTGGGTGCCTAATTGTTTACCTAAACTCTCTAAACTTTCATCAAAGCCAAAACAATGTGAAACGACCTGGGAAAAAAATAAAAGTAAAGTGACCTGGAGGAGGTTAGGCAAAGGCGGAGTTGGGTAGCATAAAAGATTGGGCCAGTTATCATTTATCGCTTGAGTTCTGTAAACTGAGAATATGACTTTAATACTATACTATTTTAAAATATGCTTATTACCATGAAAAATTAGCATAAAGCATTAGAATCTGGAATAGCAGCTTTATTCGGGACATGTGAATAATGCTTGAAGGCCTAACGCTGTCTCTAGGTCCCCTTCAGCGTTAAGCTCCTCCATGCTGTTGTTTGGCTTAGTCAACGTACACATGCTCCGTGGCAGGGCTCACACTGCCGGCTGTGATGCCCGGGGGAGCTGCAATAGCAGGGACCCCGTGCGGGTGCTTCTAGGGGGAGCCACTGGAGACCTGGGATTTAGAAGCAGCCAGGGCTGGCGCTCAGCTGGCGTACAGCAGTGTGCTCCTACTGGTTATTTCCAGCCAGTGTTTCTTCATTTGGGGCCTGCATCCATTCTGATTGGGTGGTGTCCGTGCTGTAGCTGTAATCACATATTTTGGAATGTTCCTCCTGTACGCAGCAATGAGGAAGACACCTCCTGAAACTTACTGTAAGAAATTTACAGTGCATTGATTTTTTTGATGTATAGGAATCATCATGTTGATCTTGGAATTCTAAGTTCCCTGGCAATAGGAAATGGAAATTTCTGTAGCGTGTCACCATTGCTAGCTTATCTGGTGTTGCGGATTTTCCCTGTTGCAGGACTGGGTGAAAGCTTTTTCTGCAGCAGTCATGTTGAAAACCTTGTGTTGACTTTCCTCGTGTTCTGAAATGGGAGCGTAAAAGTTTACTCCACCACTTCGTCCTAAAATAGCAAACCCTTGCTGTTTCTGCAGATCTAGGACCTTGTTACAGAACTCTGCCAAAAAAAATATATTTACAGAAGAATGTGCTGTGATTAGAGAAGAATGTGCTGGTGTGTAGATTTGAAACTCTGGACAATATGAATAACGCTGTCTTTGTTTCTACAGTGGGAGCCAAGAAGAAAGGTTTGCTCCCGGGTGGAACAGGGATTATCCTCCTCCTCCCCTTAAGAGTCATGCTCAAGAGAGACACTCTGGCAACTTTCCTGGCAGAGATTCACTTCCCTTTGATTTCCAGGGGCATTCGGGGCCTCCCTTTGCAAATGTAGAGGAGCACCCTTTCAGCTACGGAGCTAGAGACGGACTGCTTGGTGACTACCCAGGAGGGGAGGGATCCGGACATGACTTCAGGGGGGGAGATTTTTCATCTTCTGATTTCCAGAGCAGAGATTCATCACAGTTGGACTTCAGAGGTAGGGACATACATTCTGGGGATTTTCGGGATAGAGAGGGACCACCTCTGGACTACAGGGGTGGCAATGGGACTGCTGTGGATTACAGAAGCAGGGAAACATCTCACATGAACTACAGAGACAGGGATGCTCACACTATCGACTTCAGAGGTAGGGACGCTCCTCCACCTGACTTCAGGGGCCGGGGTGCTTATGATTTAGATTTCCGAGGCCGGGATGGAGCTCATGCAGATTTTAGGGGAAGGGATTTGTCAGATTTGGATTTCAGGACCAGAGATCAGTCTCGTTCTGATTTTAGGAACAGAGATGTATCTGATTTGGACTTCAGGGACAAAGACGGAACACAGGTGGACTTTAGAGGCCGAGGTTCAGGTACTAGTGATCTCGACTTTAGGGACAGGGAGACACCACACTCAGATTTCAGAGGTAGACACCGGTCCAGGACTGACCAGGACTTTAGGGGCAGGGATGTGGGAACGTGTATGGAATTTAAGGGTAGGGAGATGCCCTCTGTGGATCCAAATATTTTGGATTACATTCAACCCTCTACACAAGACAGAGAACATTCTGGTATGAATGTGAACAAGAGAGAAGAATCCACACATGACCATACAACAGAAAGGCCTGCTTTTGGCATTCAGAAGGGAGAATTTGAGCTTTCAGAAACGAGAGAAGGAGAAACACAAGGGGTAGCCTTTGAACATGAGTCTTCGTCAGACTTTCAGAACAGCCAAAGTCCACTTCAAGACCAAGACAAGTCGCAGCCTTCTGGAGGTGAAAAGCAGAGTTCTGATTCTGGTTTGTTTAAAGAAGAAGGTGGTCTGGACTTTCTTGGGCGGCAAGACACGGACTACAGGAGCATGGAGTACCGTGACGTGGACCACAGGCTGCCAGGGAGCCAGCTATTCGGCTATGGCCAGAGCAAGTCCTTTCCAGAGGGCAAAGCTCCTCGAGGTGCCCCACCGGAGCTTCAGGTATGTCAGCGGAGTGAATGGCTTTTTGCTTTTTCATAGGCTTTTCTGAGGGATGAAGTGTAAAGTTCAGGACCATTAGTCCTGGCTCTCTCCTTGTATAACCATTAAAAAGCAAAATGTGTCCTCAGGGATGGAACGTACATCTCCACAGAAAGGGCCCTCAGCTCAAATCATATTTTTGATGTGTGTTTATTCAACATTTTGCTTTATGGTGCTGATTTAAATGCCTTGGAATGATTTACTTTGAAAGTATCTGTTTTTGTGAGTTGATTCTCTCAACTTTTGCAGAATCAGGCCTTGTGGCTGTTTTGTGATCATTTTCTTATTTAAATTTATTTAGGAAGTACCCAGGAATCTTTCTGTAGTCACGAGGAGGTGATATGAATGTTGCAAGTATCTTCTTGCAGCTAAATCAGTTGATTAAATGTTGAATTTCACCCGGCTGGTGTGGCTCAGTTGGTTGAGTGTCGACCTATGAACCAAGAGGTTGCCGGTTCAATTCCTGGTCAGGGCACATGCCCGGGTTGCGGGCTCCATCTCTGATGGAGGGCATGTAGGAGGCAGCCGGCCAGTGTTTATCTCTCTCTCTCTCAAAATCAATTAAAAAACATTTTAAAAAATGTTGAATTTCTCTCTGTATATAATATATAATCTAACATACATATAATATAAGCAAGGAGAGTTATGTTTGCAGTTGGACAATGAAAATATTATCTTTTTAACTAGATTTTACCCATGTCTACTCAGGTTTCTGTTATTTTAGACAGTAATCCTAAGTCATGCTAACCCAATAATAGCTTTTGAGAATGTTAGAGGTGAGTGACCATATAATTTATTGTTCAAATTAGGACACTTTCAAGAGTAAAAGAGAATACTATTGACAGTTATTCCAGGACAGTAGACATAACTGGGAAGTGTGGTCCCTTAGTATTAGGAGACTTTTTCTCAAAAGTTAAATTCTTGATAAAAATTTTGAAATAAAGAGAAATCAGTTGGAGCTGAGACTTTTATGAATATGGAAAATGCAGGTTTCTCGGAACTGAACTGAGTAGTATGTTCAGATGGCACTTTTTGACTTTGTTCTGGTATTTGTTTATAGATCTGGCTTAAATTTTTTTCCTGTTTTCTCATTCAAGAAAAGAAAATGATAGTCTTGAGAATGTTTTATTTGTGTGTTTTTTTCCTGATTATAAAAGTCCTGTTCAGTGTTGTTTCGCTTAACATTCTGCTTTATGCTTTCAAGCCTCCTTCACTGAGCCTTGGTTTTAGGACAGGTGTATTCTAATGATTTGAGATCAAATTTTGGCACACAGAAAAACAAAAAATTACCGTTTTTCACAGCTTCATATGATGCAAGCCAATTTGATTTTTGATTCTGAGTACCTGTATTTTACGTTCAGTTTCATTTTGTACTAACATATTCATTTCTGAATAATCTTTTATTCTGGGTTCAAGGATCAAGATTATAGGACTGGCCCAAGTGAGGAGAAAGCAAGCAAGCTTATTCGATTAAATGGGGTGCCTGAAAATGCCACAAAAGAGGAGGTAAGTGTCTTTTTCTTTTCATTGTTCTTTTTGCTTTTTATTTTTTTGGTCAGTTAAAAATTGTTTTTTAAACTTTATTTTGAAAAATTACAGATTCACAAGAAGGTGCAAAGCAGGGGTCCTCAAACTTTTTAAACAGGGGGCCCGTTCACTGTCCCTCAGACCGTTGGAGGGCCAGACTATAGTTTAAAAAAAAAACTATGAACAAATTCCTGTGCACACTGCACATATCTTATTTTGAAGTAAAAAAACAAAACGGGAACAAATACAATATCTGTATTTGCATGTGGCCCGCGGGCCGTGGTTTGAGGACCCCTGGTGCAAAGAAATGTGCAGGGAAAGCCCTGGGTGTTCTTCCCCCGGCTCCGGGCCGTGTTCGCATCTTGTATTAGCAGCAGAGCAGCTCAGCCAGGAAACTGGCTTTGGCACCATCACCGAGCTCACTCAGCTTTCACCAGCTGTGCGTGTGCTCAGTGAGGTACGAGTTGTAGAAAATATGAAGGCAGTGATCGCAGTCCTGAGGCCTGATCATCACTGTCAGAGCAAACAGGACTCAGTGTTCATCCTGTGCCAGGCGCGATGTGATGCTCACAGCATTGGTTCATTTAAATATCACAGCATCCTGTGGGTAGGCGCTCTTACTCCACTCACTTCGGATATTAAGCGATTTTGCATGCGAGGCACTGAGCGCAATAGCAGTGAATATTATAAAGCCACTGCCTCTGAGGTTAATAAAAAAGCAAAAGGGAGATGACCTCAGGCAGTGATCAGCGCTCTGAAGAAAGCCAACGTAAGCTCTAGAGCGCCCTGGGTGAGGACTGTTTCCGATCGGGTAGTTAGGAGGCCATCCCCGAGGAAGTGACATTTGAGCCAGGACTGAATGCAGGGAGAGGACAACCCGTCCAGAAGATGGGGAGAGATCTGACCAGGCTGAGGAGGTAAGGCCATGGCCCTGGATTGAACGAGTCGGTGTATGCCGTCTGTTTAACAGGAAACCGGCCATTGCAAGGCTCCTCAGCAGGTGAGCAGGAGAGACTCGGGCCGATGGCAGGGCTCGAGCGTGAGCTCAAGACAGTTCTGCTCTCTGCCTTCTTTCTGTATTGGGGGACTTTTGAGGCATTAGATGAGACTCATTCAATGGTCTTTGAATGCCAAAGTTCATTTATAAAGTAATCATAGTTTTAAATTATGTCAAGTAAAAACCAGGATAGAAAATATAATATTCAGTATTTGATTATGATTTGTATCATCATTGTAAGTACCATATTCTTGCAGATTCTTAACGCCTTTCGGACTCCTGATGACATGCCTATAAAGGACGTGCAGCTGAAGGGGTATAACACAGGTGAGCTTCTTGTTGCGCATGTGGCCTTGGGTCAGGAAGGGACTTTGTCAGATCTCTGCAATGTGTGCCACTCAAAAAACCAAAAAACATTTAAGAAACCACCATTAAGATTCCCGGAAGCCTCTGTTGGTGCCTCCAAACAACAGCCAGCTTTAGTCTCCGCTGGGATTCTTTGTGGATGCTTTGTCCAGCGGGTGAGGATGCGCGCCCCAGTTCTTCTGAGTGCCTGGGAGATAGAAAGGGAGCGCTGCAGGGCTTCTCCCTGAATACATTTCATGGAATTAGCTCATGAAGCTGGCTGTTTATGTTCTTCATGGTGGGAGGGTGTTTACAATGGAGCCTAGTAGGATTTAATAAACTTACTGTATGTAAAAGTTTATGTCTTATTGCTTCAGCATGAAATTACAACTTTCCAGAGAAATTGTACAAATTAGTAGTTTCTTTCCAGTCTTGCTTGGAGAACAGAGTCCTGCAATAACTAGTTTGTTGAAATCCATAAATAGATCCAGAAGAACTGTCTCTTTGACCTCTGTTCTGTGGTCTTAACTGCAGGTTAAACTTTTCAGAATATCCTCCTAATATTTGAGAGTACCAAGTTTCATCAGTTCCTTCAAATCTTTTTTTTTTAATTTAATTTTATTATTTGAAGTATTACAAATAGTAGTACATATGTCTCCCCCCCCCCCCCCCCCATTGACTTCCCCGCGCCTCCCCTACCCCCCAGGACATGCTTACTAGTACGGAAATGTAGTCAAAAGGGAAGTGCCAAACACTTAAAGTCTTGACCAATATTTTTAGGACTACATAATATGAAATGGCTTAAAAATAAGATAATATTTAAGTGATCTAACTTGCAGAATTTTACATGGAAGAAAGTAGAGCATTAATCTTTTCACAGAATTTAGATTTCAGTAATCCAAGTTAAGGAACTCTTCAACCAAGAGCATGCCATATTTTTGAGGATATAGTTTACTTTTAAACAGTTTACCATGGAATAAAATTTTTGCTTTAACTAGATAGCTGCTTCTTCAGATTGGTTCTGCAGAGGGAAACTATCCACAAAAATAAATTTTTCTGTTTGAAATAGTCTGGTGCTGAAGTAAATTTACATTAAATCTAGAAATACCTTTTCTGTAATTTGAGAACACACTCAGAAGCATTATTTCTCAGAAAGCTAATCATTTCTTTGTTTTAAAAGCAACTCTGAATTTGTGGAAACATGACTAAGCGTTCCTCTGTTCTTGCATACTTCACCTACCGTTTTTATTTGTTTTGCACGTGTCTTACACACACTTTCGTGGTTTACTGTTATCTTTGGGGGTTAGAGTGTATAGGCTGCAGTCGCTTTTTAACTGCAATAGGGCAATAACCTCAGCTTTCATCTTGGTTTATGCATTGCTTCCAGTGCCTAATAGGCACTGGCCTATTTAGGAAAGTAGAGATATCTTTTTTTTATTTTTTTATTGTTTAAAGTTTTACATATGTCTCCTTTCCCCCCCACTGATTCCCCTGCCGCCCCCCCGCCACTCCCACCCTCAAGGGCAAGCCCCCACTGCCCCAGTGTCTGTGTCCATTGGTTATGCTAATACGCACGCATACAAGTCCTTTAGTGGATCTCCCCCACCCCCGCCATTTGTCTCTGGATCTATTTTTGTTCATCAGTTTATGTTGATCATTTTATTCCACGTATGAGTGAGATCCTGTGATACTTATCTTTCTCCGACTGGCTTATTTCGCTTAGCATAATGCTCGCCAGTTTCACCCGTGCTGTTGCAGGAAAGTAGAGATATCTTGATGCTAAAATAACAGCAATTTAAACTCTTCATTTCTTTAGTACTTACTGGTTTTCTGTCTATGTTGTCAGATTTATTAGCAGAGTAAGACACACTATACAGAAGTTCCTAAATGTGCTGGCTGTGGTAGCCATTGGAATCATAACGGGCTGACCAAAGGCATTGACATGCATGTGAAATCATTCAGGACGTTGGTTTAGAAAAGTACACCTTTCAGGAGCTGCAGTCCTTTCTTGGCATTTTCTTATACGAAGTGATAATAGTGGGTAGATAGATTTCTTTTTATAATGAAAGGATTAGATTACCAGTCCCATACTGTCCGTATTTCATCTCTGTGTGGCAAGTAGGGTGAACTTTGGAAAACACCGGTTAGATCATGTTACACCCTTGCCTCCCACCTCACTTGGAAGAAATTCCCAACTCTGCCCTGCATGAGCCGGCCTTTGGCTGTTCGGCCTCATCCTGCCCTGCTCTCCACCTTTCTTCTTGTGCTCTGGCCAGCCCGACCTTTTCTCTCGTCCTTGACCAGTACAGGCTTCTTTCTCTGTCGGGGCCTTTGTACTGCTCTTCCCTCTGATCCTCACTTGTCTTCTGGGGTTTGGCTCTTGGCTTCAGGTTCACTTCGCAGAGGCCTTGCCTCACCGCACCAATCTAAAATCCCCCTTCGTCATTTTTCGTTATATCCTAGTTTATTGTCATAGGATCCATCACTGATGTTTTTCTCAGGGGTTTTGTGTGTCTTATTTCTCCCTCTGGACAGTTCGCTCCGGAACAGCAGGAGCCTGTGTGTCTTGGTCCGTCCTAATCCTAAGTGCTTACACCTGAGGGGTCCCAGTGCGCACGGGAAGAATGTGCTTGGGACAGTCAGGGTTAGAGAACTTTAACCTTTACTTCTAAAAAGATTGTGTGTGAATTTCAGTAGAAAAGGTGATTTTATAAATGGCAGTCACTTTTCTAAAGCTGCCTGCTAACCTGCAGAGACCATCAGGATTGCTATTGCTCACAAGAGGGGTGAGTGGGGTGGGGCTCACCCTTTAGTTGATGTAATGGGGAGCCAGTCTATAGCAGATTCATCACAGACTCCAGTGAGAGCCTTGGAATCTCTCTCTCGTTCAGAGCTGTGTAAGGACAGGGCCACGACTTTGATCCCAAATCTGCGGGTTCGGATGAGTGCATAAATGTTTCTGAATATGGAAAGGTAATGCAATGTATAGATCATATATGAATTAATACCCTAGTGCAGCAGTTCTCAACCTGTGGGTCGCGACCCCTTTGGCGGTCAAACGACCCTTTCACAGGGGTCGCCTAAGACCATCCTGCATATCAGATATTTACATTACGTTTCATAACAGTAGCAACATTACAGTTATGAAGTAGCAACAAAAATAATTTTATGGTTGGGTCACAACATGAGGAACTGTATTTAAAGGGGCAGAAGGTTGAGAACCACTGCCCTAGTGGGATGTATATTAGACATAATATTTCTAGAGCAAAATGTATGACTACTCTCACTAAGAGGACTTAAAAAAAGACTAGGAGGAGACAGTATAGTGGAGATCTGGATTTGTCTCCAGATGACTTGACTGAAAATATACCAAAAACTTGATATTTAAGAAATTTTTGGATTTTGGAGTTCCATATAAGGGATTGTGCACCTATATATGCTGCGTATATTTGAATTTTTCTTTTGCCATTTTCAAATACATTATACCCCCTTCATTGTAAAGCACCTTGAGTTACATGATTATATTCCTGGGGAAGTATCAGAGTGAAATGTCTGTCGGTGACCGGACAAACTCCTGTGCGTGCATACAGTGCCACGCTCCTCAACAGCAATTGAAGAAACTGCTCATGCCTGTGGCAACAGGGATAAGTCTCATGGCATCACGCTGAGTGCAGGAAACGACTCAGAGGCTGTGCACACTGACATGAAGGGAAACGAAGCCCTGAAGATGCTGCGATTTATGCGCATGTCCACTGTTAGACAATCCCTTGGGGCAGAAGCTGGGGAGGGGGCTGGTGAGTAGGACTTCACAGCTCTGCTGAGGTCAAGTGACTAGATAATGTCACTTAAAAAAGCACACAAAAGAATCAGCCCTGGCTGGTGTGGCTCCGTTGGTTGGAGTGTCATCCTGTGCACTGACGGGTTGCAGGTTTGATCCCTGCTCAGGGCACATGCCAAGGTTGTGGGTTTTATCTCCAGTCAGGGTGCATACGGGAGGCAACTAATTGTTGTTTCTCTGTCTCTCCCTCTCCCTCTCCCTCTCTCTCTCTAAAACTCAGTTTTTAAAAAATGAATCGAATGTTCCTGAACGATGGTGACAGGGTAGAGAAATCATTGCATGGTATAAGCTTCATTAGGTTTCTCCTCATAACCTATCAGCTGGATTTGTGCCACAAACTAAATGATTTCCTGCCTTTGCTTGCCTCCAAATCAAAGAAGACATTAGTCATGCTGTCTGTCTTCTATCACACTCCATGCTATAAAAATTCCTGGCAGCAATGTAGATTATGTATGAATTGGTGGTTAAATAATATTTGTCTAAATATTGAGATGTGTATGTGCAAACTCTGGAAATAAAACATTGGATGAGTAGAACCTACGAAGAAAATTTCCCCAAAATGGTACTGTCACACTCAAGTTTAGTTTTGAAAACTGTTTAGTAGTGTTATGTTGAGGGAGTAGAGTTTTCTATTTTGTTGTTCATATCATTATAAGTCAGGGGTGGGCAACCTTTTTGTGAGTGCGTGCCAAAACCAGCAAAATCTCTGACTCAAAATTCTTCTGCGTGCCAACCCTAATTTTTTGAGAACGTGTTACGCCTACTTGATATCTCTTAAGGTGTACGTATGTGAAGAACCTTGAAGAAATAATAAAATTCATTCAAGCGACAAAAACACAGTATATGATGATGAAAAATGTATTTATTTTTTAATGTGTACATGTACACTGATAGTCCGACAGAAAACTTTATGACTTCGTTTGATATTATCAGTGGGGCTTTTGCTGCTGCGTCACTGATGACAGAGATTTTACATCAGGTTTCTATTTTCGTGACCTTCAGAGATATGCACGAGCTACTACTTTCATCCGTCAGGCTACTCCTATTACGAGATTTAACAAAATCCGTCACTGAGAACAAAGATTCACAAGCGTATGTGGATGAAACCAAAACACTGGTCGGCTCTAGGAAGGCAGGGAGAGTT